AAAAAAAAAAAAAAAAAAAAAAAAAAAAGAAAAAAAATTATTTTCTTGTAGCATAAAGATAAGTGCAAATATTTAAAGTTCCAGTACTTTATTACTCGCTAAAATACGGTAAAATACGGTTAAATAACTTTGAATAGTGACGATTTAAAGAAGATTAATTGATAAAATTACTGGTGGTGACGTTTTGAAAAAAATTTTTGATTGTTATAAAATATATGGTTGAATAACCTGTGTAGTTTTTATTTTATTATCAACATAAAATATTTATTTGACAAATTTTTCGATGACAATTGATATGTCCAGTTTAGATATATGACAGATGCATGTCCAATGGCAGTTGTTCTCCTATGTTCACAGCTGATTACTGGTGTACTTTTACAAACATTATTAACGGGTCTTGTTATAGCCAAAGTTTTACGCCCGAAAAAGCGTCGACAGGTTAGCAGTCGGCAGTATCTTTTACATTTTCTTAGCACATCTATTATCGCGTATCCTAAACTGTAATTTATGCTGCTAAGGATTTTCAAAACTGTTTATAAATTTTCTTTAAAACTAATTTTAGCTCTTTTACGTTTTTTTCGAGCAAAACATTTCTAAATTTTTTCACTATTAGCAACTTCAGGAGATAAGGTTTTCAACAAAAGCTGTCATTGGACCTTCAGAAAATGACAGTAGCCAACCGACTCTAATGATTAGAGTAGCAGATATGCAGAACAATTTATATTTAGCTGAATCTCATGTGAGACTTTATATGGTTCGTATGGGTATTAATAAGGTACGTAATTAATACTGCTTGTCTTAGTAACTACTACTAATAGTACAGTAATGTAAGCCGTTTTAGCTTGGTCAACGTCAAATCATAGACATGAAGGATATGAATGTTGGATACGATGATGGTTGGGATCGAATTCTGTTGTTATGGTTAGTTTCAGCTCTTCTTGTTCTCTTGTATTTTGTTCAACATGGTACTTTCTCGACGTTGCAATTCAATTTTTTGATATTTTCAGGCCTATGATAATCAAGCATGAGATCAATGAAGATAGTCCACTTTATGGTTTTACTAGAGAAACTTTAGCTGAAGGCGCTTTTGAGTTGGTAATGACGTTGGAAGGTATTGTTGAAGCTACAGGAATGACGTTTCAAGCTCGAACTTCATTTCTACCAGAAGAGATCAAATGGGGTTACCGGTAAAAATTGCATTTTATATCCTTTTTCAGAATCTGCTGTCACTATAACAGAGGCAATATTATTTTATTTGGTTAATACCTTGCTGAAATTACTGGTTTTACTGGTACCAGGTAGTATTAGCAAAAAGTTCTAGACATTAGGCAGATTTAATTCATATCCTAGTGACATCATTAAAACACTGTCACATTTTTTAAGGTTTGCTCCAATGGTTTTGATGAACGAAAAAACACACCAGTACGAGGCACATTACAGTTTATTTGAAAAGGTTGAACCAGCTGACGGTTTCGTTAAAGTAGATGAAGTGGAAGAAAATTCTGATAATAGCTTAACAGTACAAAAAGGTTGTTCAATAAACGATGTATTGGCTTAAGTTAATAGCCAATCTGATAGAAAACAATTTTCAAGTTACCAGCAGAATCCAAAGTTTGGCACAAATACCATTTTAAAAAACTTCATTAAACTGCAGCAATAGGAAAAATTTTTGCATCGTTATTGTTGTTTTTTTCTTTCAGACAAACATTTAATAGAAAAAATCTCAAGTCTGAATAATTGTTCAAATTGTTTGTGCTGCAGTTATTGATGTATGTATATTTCCTGCTTCAGAAAAAGTTTTTTTTAAATAACTAATAATAGAAAACTCGGTGATCTCCACATATGCATTATATTGATTTGCATTTGAAAAATGTAGAATATTCGTGTAAATGTGTTAGTAAAATACTATATAAAGATTTTTAGTACTTTCTCCTTTAAAACACCTGATTATATCAAACATCTGTATCAGCTTTACAGTTGAAATATATCAAATATACATTTGTCATTTGTGCACAATCGGCAAGCTTTATTGTCATTAAAGAAAAAAAACTATAACTTCTGTTTCATCTGTCTGCAAAAGGTAATATGACTATTTAATAGCTGCAAAAATCTATCAGAAAAATTTTATTAACTGTAAAGCCACTAAAAACTTAAGCACTCTATTGTTGTGGTAATTTCTGACCACTGCAACAGTATTGGTGTCAGCTCAAATAAACAGATATTATCAGTACCACATGAAAAGTGCTAAAACCCTATTTAAATAGGTCAATCAAAAAAGTCCTCAAAAAAGTTTATAAATTACTTTCTCTAATATTGTTATTTGAAATTTTAAAACAGCAGGTGGCTCATTTGAAACTGCTTACTATCAGAGAAGCGCAAATATAGATGACGAACCAAAGTGATGACAACACATTTAATTATTTGGAAACAAAAAAACTCATTATATTCAACAAAGCCAGATTTACAATTAAATCAGTTCTGTTCAAAGATCAGTCGAAAAAATTCGCTGAAGAGATAAAACTGACTACAAAGCAACGATCTTTCGTTGATCAGCAACTTCTGTTAACGATAAGTTTTTTTTTTTTTTTTGTCGTTAACGGTTTCTAACCTTCCATTGCTGAAATGCTAAATTCACATTCTGTGTTAAGTAAGCTGTGTATAAATTTTGCAGCAAATTTTTAACGGTAATAATGCTGTTCATAGTTTTCTTCTTCTCTTAACTGTAAAGAAATGCCTTAAAGCTAATGATAACCTTTTTTTTCATAATTTTTGAAAATTCTTCGAGGATTTATAAGATAGAAAAAAATTTTAAAAAACCGTCTCTTTCTTGTTCTTACAAGCTGATATCTCTCCTATTATTTGTTTTACAGTTTGTCACAGAATTTTTATCAGTTCTGTCCGTTGTCGATGATACTGCATAATATCGTTAAAAAGAATACAAGTTATTATATAGCTCAAAAGCCATGTGTTATTTGAGCGAAGCAAAACTGTAACAGCTTAATGGCAAAATATTCACTTGAACACTACAGTTATATTTATCAAAACAATTAATAGTACCATTTTGTTCTTAACTGTGTAGAATTATTTTAATGGAAAAAAATAGGGCAGGCTCAAAATTTTTGCTGGAGGCAAATTTTTTTTTTTGCTGCCTCCAGCAAAAATTTTGTTTTTTTTTCTCTTCAAAATGTAAATTTTACGAAACACCAAAACATTTGGGCATTACGGCTGAAGCAGCAGCAGCAGTTTTTTGGGCTTCAACCAGTTGCCAAATACGTACTTTTCAAAAGAAACGGCCATTTTACCAATTAAAAATTCAAAAAAAAAAAAGAAGACATTTTTTAGTTGTCTAAAATAACGTTTTCTTTGCAAAATTTATTAATAAATTAATACTTTTTCAAAATTTTCCAAAAAAATCAGTAATTTAAAGGTGTTACAATGGGCCAAAAAAATAAAAAATATAAAAATGACCGTCGCGACTATCGACTAGAATTCTGAAATCAAGGAAACGTTTGCTATAGCGTCTCCTCTACAAGTCCCTATGGGGAAACTTTTCTTATGTCGCGCTATGTCGCGCTAGAAAACCGCAACTACTTTAAATTATGTTGTAAAGTTTGACAATAAAAATAAATTCTTTGATTCCATGTGGCTGACGCTGCTCCAGGTATTTTCCTCGGCTGGCATCTCCATCCGCCAGGCCTCAAAAAGCGTCCTTTTGTGGTCAGTCCCGGGTGAATGCATAAAAAAAAAGGGAGGGAAGTATCCTTTTGCGCGTGTGCGCGATAGTGACAATCCATTTTTGTACTACACCTACAAACCAAAAAACATGAAAAAATTTTAAAATTTACATAAATCAGTGATTTTTTATTATCACTAAATTATTAAAGTAACACACTTTAAACACAAGCAGATTTTTTTACTTTATTGATAATTCAGTTTTTTTGGCACGAACGGAGAGGACGGGATTTCCAGTCGTTTCAAAAATATTCGCTAGCAAGAAGTTGCCTCAGGCGTCGACTGCTTTCAATTTTTCATTGTCCGACTATTAGAGTGGAATTTGGTAGCGATAAAAAAAGTCTTTTACATCTAATTTGTTTTCTTCTTGTTAACCAAACAGATAATCAGTGAAATTGCTACTGATCAACAGACTGTCGTCAAATTTCAACCAACTTCTTTTTTATATATACAGTTGACAGTACAGTTTTTTTTGTTTGTCTTTAGTTAACAAAACAATCATCCTCCAATGTATCCGATTTTTTGCCAAAGAAAAATATGACATGAAAAAATTTTAAATTGAAAAAAAAAAGAGAACATAGAACAAATATCTCCAAAAATTGAGCAGTATATTAGGATGAATAAAAACGAGTTTGAAAAAACAAAAAAAGAATTGAAGATACTGTTTTGCAGATAACAAGTCTTTTAATTTCATTGTTATCGTTATCTTTTTACCATTTCTGCCTTCTTCAATAACTAATACTTTGTCTTCTCTTTTTTTTTGGTTAGAGTGGACGGTCATATATAAATATAAATAAATATATTTATACATGTTTACCACAGATATATTTTCTGTTGCTTGTCGCTTCAAACACTGTATGACTGTAACGACAAAAAAAGCTAATAGAGTATAAGCTGTAAACAGTTTTCGTTTGAATGCAAAAGAAAAAATTTTTTTAATAAATTATTTAGAACAACAGTAACAATTATAATTATTTATATTATTATATTTATTATTATATGTGTAATTCATTGATCCAATGTTGAGCATAATATCTGGCAACCTCCATCGGAAATGGTACAACAATAGTTTGATTATGTTCGGCAGCAACATTTGTTAATGTTTGCAAATAACGTAACTGCAACGATACTTTACTGTCACCGATCACCGCTGCTGCTTCGGCAAGACGCCTAAAACAGAGATGAACCAAAAAAAAAAAAAATTTTGGTTGTCATATTCTGAAAGGATAAAGTAGTCAGTTTCAGTTGAATTTATCTTTTTGTACTCATTATGCTCACTGTTACGACTATCTATCATTTCAAAACAGTAAGTTATATAGTTGCTCACAATAATGCTGTCATCGAAAAAATGAGCTGATTTATTGTACAAACAAAATTGTTGAAATTCTATTGCATTTTTAAATCTGTTCAAGTGTATGTTACATGAAAGTAAGAAAAATTGGGCTGTTAAGAAACTGTAAATGTTATCATTAAAAAAAAATTTTTCTGAAGGTGTGGCGTTTTTTTTTGTTTTATTTACAACTTCTGGCTACTGTACTGGCTTTCACAAACTGGTTTTCTCTACTTTTTTTCAATCACTTAAAAATAAACAGAAATGAATAAAATTTAAGCAAAAAAAAAAGAAAAGAAAAAAAATTTGACTGGTTTGGTGATTAATAATTTTTTTAGATCTCTCACAAAGCGTTCAAACGATTGCTGAAGCTGCTGAGAAGAAAATTTTTTTTTTGCTGATAATTTTCTCATCCTTTATCAAAGTCATACACATTCGTCAATTTTTTTTCTTTACTCCATTCTATTTTTATTTTTTTTTTTGTCGTAAACAACGAAAATAACGGAAAATTCAGTACAATTAAAAAATTTCAGCTAAAAAAAAAAGTGGTGAGAGGAAGTGAAGGAAGGGTGGAGAGGATAAATGAATAAATAAAAATGCACATAATTCAAAGAAACTGACATAACGTTGGCTCTAGTTTCTCAGAATAAAAGCAAAGGAAAAAACCCCAAAAAACAAAAGTACATTATTCGCAAAAAAGTGAAGAAAAAATCAAGAATGCTCAAAAATACGTAAAAAATGATTAATGACTTGAACGAAGAATTGTTGTTAAACGAAAGTTTGTAGTAAAAATTGTCGACAACCAAATACTTTGCTGTTACAACTGACTGTTTATAATATCATTATTTTCTTGCTAAAACAGCTAATTGATATCAC